GATAGGGGATTAGGGGGGATACGGGGGATAAAGGGGTGGAAGGGCCCAACCTCCTCTTTAACTTTAATACTATCACTACTCAACCGGGGGCGATGAAAATTGAAATTTAAATTTTGTTATATACGTTATGTCATAATATGCCCCCAATATTATGTATATTAAAATGAAACTATGGACTGGACTTGAATTTTTTTAGCTAAAGCTAAAGCGTAAAGCTAAAGCTAAAGCTAAAGCGTAAAGCTCCTCTGAAATTATTTTTCCTTCCCCCCCTGCAGTACTGCAGGGCGGGGCGGCTTAGATGTTGAATCATTATTAGTTAATAAGGGGTGATGAAAAGAGGGATCTTTAGCTTTGATCTCTTTGCATAAATTAGTACCCATTTTTTCATTTACCTCGACCATGTGAGGTAAAATCTCTTTATACTCCTCAAATAATTTTTTGGAGCTATCCGGAAAAAATGGCTCATTACCTTGATCAATACCTCTAAGAGTGTTGTTAAATTTCACTACTTGCTCTTTATACAGCACAAGATTCTGATCTACAGTATTGAGATGGGATTTTAGTCCTACGGTGTTTAACGGAGGAAGTCCCTTATCTGTTAAAAGAGTATCGCAGATTTCAACCCCAACGGGGTGGAGGGGTGCTAACCCTCTACGACTCAATAAACCAGAACACTCTGGGAAATATATTTTTTTTTGGCCATAAGTCGGAAGATCCTTTGAAGAAAAATTACGGATAGCTTTATCCTTCACATCGGAAGAAATTTCACTCTTATGAGTATTAATCCTATCCAGCGCTTCAGCTAGGAAATCATAACTTCTAGTACTGTCTGGATTTCCTGAGGGGGTATTCCCCTCTTCGGGATTCCCCCCACCATTTTTAGGGGAGATAGAATATATATCCGCCATGTAGTTATCTTCCATAAATATCCCACAAAAAATAGAATTTAATCCATTTCATATTGTATACACCCAAAATATGGTAATTTTATTTTCATAGAGTCAGATTTTAGAGAAAAAGAGACAGCTATTAAAGAAAAAGATACGTGTTTTAATAGCATCGATGAAATTTTTTATAGAAGACACTTTTACACCCATACGAGGTAAACTAAAAGGGATAAAAACCAATAAAAGATCTACAAATATAAAACATTTTAGCAACGTTAAGGAGTTAAGCTCAATGAACATTATTAATTCTGTTAGAATTACAGCTAAAAAAACTAAAATTATAACTAAGAAATTATTAACCTTTTTAATCATTATGTATCATAATATGAATGAGCCAATATGGCCCCCATACTTAATCTGAATAATTTGTTGTTAAGCATTTTAATTTGGATTTTATTAAAATGCCTGTACAACGGATTAATTATGCTATCAGTTACGTGACTTTGGATACTATTGATTATATATAAACCATCCAAACTTGTAGTACTTGATGCATACAGTAGACCACCTACACCTAATCCTAATAAAATAAAGGAGCAATGAAATATACAATATAATTTTGTAATAATAAAATCGGGACTTCGGCTACTTATAGTACCTGCTGAATTTGCTCATAGTAAACATGCGCCTAATAAAATAAACACTGCTTGTGTTGAAGATAATGTAGCTGTAGGCATTCACCCATTAAACCTAGGTCTTATATTACTAATATATAATCTTTTTATGGGATTGAAACTTGTTAATTGTAATATTAATATACTAATCAAAAAAATAAATATTTGGAATACTTGTGTTATATCGGTTATATGAAGTAAACCTCCATGTAAACCTACCCCTTTACTTATAATAGATAAACTCATTGTATCATGCAAAATACAATAAATTAATGCTATAATCACAATTCTATTAAAAAGTATGGAAATATCTCGTCTTAAAGTAACGGCATTAGAAAGTAATAAAGACAGTATAGTCATTATTATCATAAAGAATGAAGAAATTTAGTTGGAGGTTTAAATAAGGAATGCTCTGGTCCTATTCGATCAGTGCTGTTCCCCTCCATAGCGTACGCGAACCTGGGGAGAAAATCGAATTCTCATCTTTAATGTATGAAATTAAGGTTTTACCTTTAAACTACCCAGGTTGATGATGATAATCCGTCCAGTACTAATCCAGCTGCTCCGTCGCAGTCGCAAGACGCGCTATAGGATAGCCGTGCCTCCACAGAACTGTGGAGGCCGATTAGTACCTTTCGGATCATCATCCGGTGCCCAGCTGAAGGGCGGCCCTATGCCGCTCACGTTTTCGGTTGGAAAACGCCTGGGTCCGAGCTTGTCATCGAAAAGCTACAGTTGAACTCCGAAGAGCATCGACGACCTTTGAACGTTGGGCGCAGTAGTTCAATTCCTAGAGCATATACAGCCAATGCCGGAATCGTAAAAAAAATGAAGTTTAAACTTTGTCGTGACAAAGTTTAACCTCCATTTTGCCCAAAATAAAAAAAGTGAGCCCCCTTCCCGCTCATCTTAGTGATAACCCGCTCCGTATACTGTTATCTCCTGCTTTTTATTCCCTCTCCTAACAACATATGAGTCGGTTGTGATGTCGTTGTTAGGATACTTTTAGTAACTAGCACAATCAATTAAGAACTGTTACTATATCCCACCCACCCGATCATATATAATCTAAAGTGCTACCCTACGACTCATAAGGCTATGATTTTTTATAATACACCTTATTATCATTTACATAACCTGATGTCCTCATTTATGTCATTATATTTTCTCTACTAATTATTTGATATTTTCCCGCCCCCCCTGCAGTACTGCAGGGCGGGAAGGGTTTGGTTTTGTTTTTTTTTAAAGCTAAAGAACATAAGCTAAGAACGCTAATCCTACCCATCAGAAAACCCCACCGCATGAGTCAACAAAAGTGTCCACATTTTGATAAAAAACACAGTTTTTTGGGCCCCGCCCCCTTCCCCGCCCTGCAGTACTGCAGGGCGGGGGGAAGGGGGCGGGGTCCCCCGAAATTTTGAGGTTTTTTACAAATGTGGACTTTCTAATCTGCATTTTTATAAATAACCACTAACCACCAATCAGTCTTCCTAACAATTCTACAAAAACTTTTTTACATTCTCTAATAAAAACTATCTTAAAATATTAACAGACATGTTAATTGTTTTTAACATTAATCAGCACTTTTATTAATCTTCTTAGAACTAATAACCATCCCTCCAGCTTCGGTTTTTTGTCTACTATAAGCCTGTATGAGATTCGAACTCATATACTAGTGTCCGTAGCACTATGCTCTACCAATTAAGACTAACAGACCTTTTTGCTTTGTATTAAGTGGCCCAACCCTCGGCACTTAATTATGACTAAGATCCAATTATGACGTAAACAAATATCATAATAATTTAGCCTCGCTGAGGCGGAGCCTTACCCTCCTCGCTACCCCCTCATCCACCCCTCGGGCCTTGAGGGGGCGTGCCTCCCTTCGGATACGTAAGAGGAGGGGGGATTTAAATTTAAATATTCTTAGCCTCCGGATTCGAACCGTCCTACCTCTTAGCACTTATATAATATTTCTATTACACCCCCCCTGCAGTACTGCAGGGCGGGGGAACGAAAAAGGCAAATCCCCTCCTCTTCCCCCTCCCCCTTCCCCACCCTGCAGTACTGCAGGGGGCAGGTTTGCGGGGGAGGGTGGATTTTCTGTTAAAATCTGATAATAACCTGAGCGACTCATTCCATTCCATTCCATTCCATTCCATTCCATTCCATTCCATTCCATTCCATTGCATTCAAACAAATATATAAATATTTCCCTCATTGGGTACTTGATAAATTCCACTCGCTACCCCCTCCTTTTCTAAAAAAAATCAAGCAAAAAGGAGGGGGGGCCGAGTGGTATAGTTCTCTAATTAATAACTACCCTTATTCAATGTCCTATCCCCCCCCCTCCTCTTCCCC